CTAGATCATTTGGTAGTTATAGGCTACTGGGTAGCAATTGGAAGCTCCTGTAGCTATTTTGCTCATCGTTCCAGTCGTTTGGGCTAAAAATAGATCAGGGTTTCAGCTTTTTCGCAAACAGACCGACCAACAAATGACTTTATGACCTTTCTTTCCAATAAATTTCAAAAGTTATCTATTTGTATCTATCGACGCTGTGTTTTCCATTTTTCACGTCCGTCTTTCACCGCCACTCATAGTCGTTTTACATACTTTTGGTCAGTCTATATTTGGGTTGTCTCCGTTCTTCATCATGTTCGGAGTCTGATGAGATGAGTTTCTGAACATCTGTTAATCTAATAAATACCGCCTACGTCCAATGATCTTCCTTGACCTCTTAGGTTAAGACAATAAATAACCCTGCTGTTTGGACATTATCCCAAACGACTTCATGGAGAATATCACTTTGAAACAAAATGTATATGCGGACAATACGGTTTTTAGTTAGATCATCATCAGCCTGTAAAACACAGAAATATTGATGTGCATATATGAAGTCATTACAAAATCAAGCCAGTTTATGAGCCGATGATAACTGGGGAATAGATCACATAAATAAGTAAAAATTACAAACTGATGTTGTGATGACAGGTGTACTAGTTGTGAATAGAATAATAAAGGCTTGAACCAATTTTTCATGGTAGAAAGTAGGCCAACGATTTGAAAGAATGGACACAGATAACGTTTATTAAAATTATAAAATTGCGTAACTAGAAGTGTTCTGATAATTGGAAAATGAAGCGTATATTTGAAAAAATGAGGTTGTAGGTAAATAAACGGACAAAGAGTATGGAAAATCATAGATAAGTTAGTTTATTAATGCTGATTCTCCCAAAGAGGAGGTGAGGGTTTTACAAATTTCATAAGAGTGCACAGAATTAGATTGTTAACTCGAATCTTTATAGCTTCTGGTATGTGTAAGGGATGAGATCGAACCGAATAAGGGAAACTTTTAGGTATATGATAAATTACTTTGAACGATTTGCTGATCAGATGTGATAGAATATAGTTGCGTGTTGTTTTGGTGATACTCTTTCCCAATTTTCTCCACAGGAGTGGCTGGATTTTTAGATACTCATAAATGCGGTAAAACCAGATAACTTACGCTTTGAAAAATCATCATCGACTGTCTGGAAACATATTGTTTTAGTCAATATGTCTTGTAGTACATCACTAGCTATATCTCCGCCGAACTATAGGTTTATGAAGAAAGGTTCCTTACTGACCGTTGACGACGCTATTCTCGTGCTCGATACATGCGAGTGTTTCTTCATAAAACCTTGCGTATAACCTATTTTAGTCATCATATTATGAATGAGCTCTAGCTCCATGTTTATAGTGTCTAATTACATCCTGCTAGCTCTACTTGTAAGACGTCTAACTAGGTAACTCTTGTGATTAGTGGATACAATACTCAAGAAGTGCGCGTAATAGGTTAATGTAGAAGTTTTTCTGTACACATCCACTAATGGAACCATTTTCTTCCTGGTAACTATCAGTATCGGGTTGTAGAGATTACTAAGTATTTGATTGAGATCATGAACCAATTGATGCTAGACCAACATTGGAAACCTGGAAGCACTGGGCGGCCGTTTCGTCCTATGTGGGACTCCCAAACAGTGCGCACCCACGACCCTGCTTGCGGGATTCGAACCCAGGGCCTTCGGTCTGGGATCACTCGAAATTGAGTTTATTTTATCGATGTAATCAGTTTTGTTTATTAGAACTAGCCCTCTTTTACTTGGCTTGCTTATGATCAGCGTTGTATTTTATAAACATATGAAAAGCACCTTGATGCTGTTTGGTAAGTGGTCATTTCACACTTTATTTTTGCATTGTTGGCAGATTCCAACTAACGTGATCTTAAATCTAGTAATTTCATCTAGTGAGGTTGGGACCAAATCTGTTGTTCGTAAAAATGAATCCAAAAACTGAACGTCTGTATCTAGTTGATTTATTCTATTCCTATAGTTGCAGAATCTAGGGCCGGTCGATAAAGCCTCTAGTTGTGCTATATCTAACCGAACACTAGGAAAATCATGAACTTACCGCTCTGGGCCCAAAGGGAACCTTTTTGGTTTTTAACATCCAAGTGGTATTATTAGTTTTCTCCATAATTTTTTCGGGTCTGCTTTTTGCTACAATGTCAATATAATCCATGAATTGTGATTTTATTTCTGGTGGAAAGTTATCGATAGTAGATTTTCTTTGCAAAAGATTTCTTTCCAGATCGATTATGTACATTTTTCAACAAATCTGTTTGGTTGAATGCCCATTGTTTAAGGGTTCTGGAATTAGGACAAATCTTGTTTCGACGTTAAGAATTCCAATGTTTTACAATATCTATCAGTCTGTATACAATCATTAATACATCCCAACGAAGTTTTCTAGAACCCTCAAGAAATGGGTACTTTAGCTTGACATAAATTTCGACCACTTAATGTCGTTTCATGGAAGTCGATCCCATTAAAATAGAAGTACTACTCCAGGAACTTAGATCGTTAATACTTTTGGCACATGTGAAAAATGTCTACATTTCTTGAGTTGGTATCAGAAGTTTTGTGGAGATTGTAGTAATTTCAATAGTTGAGATCATGAGTCATTTGAAGCTATACCACCATGGAAAACCTGGAAGCACTGTATGCGCAGTGCTGAGGAGTCCCAAGACGGGACGAAACGACCTTTCAGTGCTTTCAGGTTTTCCACGGTGGTCTAGCTTCAATTGACTCATGATCTCAACCATTGAAATTTTCAGAGTTACCTGAAAAAGAAACTGGATCAGTAGTCTTGACAACTTAAGGGACAGTGCTAGAAAACAGTCACGCGATCTTTTACTGCTTTTAACTTGTCAGCATTGCGCTCTTAAGGCATGTATATAATATATATTGTCAAGTTCCACGATGCATATGAATAACCGACTAAAAAACAAGCATATCTCGATGCAACCATAAAGTTAATAATCCCAAGCGTAAAAACCAATCCAATTCATTTATTTATCTGCATCAATGATGTTTGTGGCGTGCTACGTATCTCACATAATCGCTTATATTTGGGACAAAACCACAGTGGTCATAGCGGAGCATAGTATTAATTAATTAGATCACTGACTGTAAATCTATCGTATGGTGTGATTCCTGTCCAATCTAACTTCCTTTTTTTTTCATTGAATGCTTCCGAAGTCTTTTTAATTTGAACCACATAATGTTCATGTGTCACTGGTTTTTGCTTGATAGAGTGCAACGATATCGAAGTTCTTTTTGATCACTTATTTTATTCTTAAGAAGCTATCAACTCATTATATAATCTCTCTGATAGTCTCAGAAGAAACCTGTGTTCCATTATTCATACGAAGCTGCCGCTAGCAGTTATTGGTTTTTTTTTCATGAGGAAGGTTCCACAAGAATATTAGCTCATTATGTTCCCACGGGTCGGTAGATGAGAATCAATAAATCCTATCCAATTGATCGCACGACAATTTGATTACCACAAGACCTTAAAAACATGGTTGCCATTTGACAATAACGATTTCGTTCAACTTCGAAACTCATAATCCTTGTTGTAAAACAACTGTATGAAACTCCGCGTTATCATTTAGAAAAATATCGAATTTTTAGGATTCTATAATGATTATTCTTTACCTCATTGTATACCACGACTATTCTAATCGTCTACAATTCAGTTCATTCCCCAGGTTTTTTGAAGTGGCTTTTGGATCGATTTCAACATCTTCGGCTTTCTTGGCGTCCCAGTCGCCTGTCATGCGTTGAAGATCAGATTATGCATCCTCAGAAAGGTAAGACATCTCAAGCAATAAAAACTGCTAAAGATGAGTATCATGTTCCCAGTCATCCTGCAAATCAACCACCCCAAAACCATGCGATATCCTACGATAGCTTTTCTACTAGCAACTTACGAAGATGCTTTAGTTTGTCGGATGGGGGGAAATCGAATAAAACTAACGACCAAATTATAAAGAACTGCAGTTCATGCATGGAAGCATCGTTCTCTTCAGGGATTTTGAATGCAGAAATTAACGGTAAAGGTAGCAGAAAACGATCAAGTTGTCCAAGTAAACAATTACATTTGTCTTCTCAAAAAGACATTCATGGGAACCATTCAGTAGCATCCTTAACTGTTAGCTCAGTATCTTTTTCGAAAAATCATTTTCTAAGTCAAAATCACGGTATTAAATCAGTACCACGTCTAATTACTTCACCACATACTCTGGTGCGTAACTCTTCAAAGAATGGCTCGAACGTTTCTATACAACACAGTGGCCGGACGTCTACTATGCGAGATAGTGGGTTTGTAGAAGGACTACATCGCCCTTTCATATCTGGTTCTTTTATACAATCTAATTTCTCGAAATCCTCCGAAAGTCCCCGTATGCATCATGATCCTAGATCAGACAGTTTGCGAAAAGCGTCTATTAACTCCTCAAATCTTTGGTGGTACATAGGATCCAGCCGCTTGGCACCTTCTATAAAAGCTTCCAGGCCACAATTCATTACTTCTAATAATATGTGAATGTTGTTAAGAAATGCCATTCAAACTATGCTTTCATTTTATTAACTATCAGTCAAAAGTCACTAATCCTGTTACACCTTTTAATAGTTGTATATAGTGTGTTCCTTTGCATTTATCATACTAGTATGCATTCAATAGTTACACTTTTTGTCTTTCCGAGATTTGAATAAACCTATTTTTTGGATGCGCTCAGAACCAAACATACAAATTTCGTAATCGATAACTCATTTTTTTAACCTCTTAATTTAAATTATTTCGAAGAAACACCTTTACTGCCATTTTTATCTCTGCTTTCTCTTTGCTGCCTTACCATAACTGTATTTTTTTAGAATTGTTTATTAGAAATACAATTGATACAGATAATTAGTTTGGCTCCAATAAATACGCGAACTCTTGTAGTATACTGGTTGATACTTTTCGAAAGCGGCATTATACTAGTCCTCTTCGAGATTAATATGATTTCCGAATTTGCCATAAAGATCTTTCTTTAAATTGTTCATGTGAACTTTGCAGTCGCTGATTCGTTCTTCGAGGTCTACCATTCGCAATTTTACTTTTTCTTTGGCTGCTGAGAGCTCTTCTCCAACTTCATCATTTGACAAGTGGAAAAATGTTTCCCCAATAAGATATCTTTTTACCTTTTAAGGTTGTTTTAGTTAATTACATAATACATATTTATTAGTAAAGTATAATAATACAAATCGACAAATCAGCTGGCCTTATGTGGATATATAATTTGCCTAATTAGCCTTTGCTTATATATATTAAGAACCGGATTAAAAATGTTCCCAAGGTGTCGAGTAAAAAACAAATCCAAGGGATTGATTAGCATGTCTTTTATTCATCGCTCTGGAATGATTTAGATGTTACGGTTCTAGATTTAGAAAGAGAAGCCATCAGGTTTTACCAGCATTCAACCATGTAGATCTAACTTGGACAGTTGTTGAGTCTATAGAAGAACAATTAGGGACAAGCCGACCAGCCACATACAAGCACTGTAATGACGTTGACAATTAGTGCTTAGAAGTTCCTTTAAAGAAGAAAAATGGATGATAGCCGGAGGTAACGAACAACCTCCATGAAAATAAGCTTAGTAATTTTACACAAGCTTTAAGTGACTTATCCATGATCTACACACCAATTTTGCGATTTTGTAGTGTGAATTCGTAACCTCGTAGGTAATTATAGGAAAAGTGAATGTAAATGAAGTATAATGAGGGCGTCATATGTCGGAGAACACATAAGTTAACCACTAGAGGTGTTTTGAGTATCCAGAAGTATGTTTTTGAATGTGAAATTACGAAATACGCTACTTCTTAGACTTCACTTCTGCAAATCTTGGAACAATGAGACAGGGTGTCTTACATCATGACCCAAACATGACAGAACATCGTGAAAGAGCTACCGTACGTCTGTTCTGCTTCTAAAACCCCACAAAGATGATTATTGAGATGGTCATAATTAATTCAAGTGAGCTCTCCTAAGCTTTGAGAACAAGGTTTGAAAGAATATTGGTCCAGTGGTTTTTAACGGTCAGAACGCATGTTACATATCACAAACTAAGCAACGTTGTACACAAAATTAGGACAATGGAATCAGAAGTACGTAATTACTGAACACAGGATCCACATAAACTTTCAGTGACATAAAGTCTGACTTATACATAACTAAATGATTCTAGACGAAATAAAAGCTTTCGCTTAACAGGCTTTCGTAACTAGCAATAGTGGATCACCGGCGTGTCCAGGTAGGAACCTAATTATATTTAACAACGAAAAGAAAGAAATAAGTAAATTATAGCGAGATATTGTCTTTAGAAATAAGTCAGGTTTTGTCTTGAAGGACTCATAGTAAGGCTCTTTGACTACCTTAGTTGGCATCAGATCCCAGAACTTGATCACTCGTAATAAGTAGAAAGTATGCCTACAATGCATTCTGCTACGTATCTCTAATTTCTGAGTGTTACCCTTAAGGTTTGTGTTAAGATTAAGCTTAAGTAGGTAGTTAAAGTGGTTCCCAGGAGTGCTTAGAACACAACGTCACTAGTTCATTTCTGCGATGTCTATACTCTAGTGAGTTAATGTTAAGTAATTTGAGGTACTCGTCATAAGGCTTGAGTTTAAGTCCCCGAACTGATTGCGTGGCTCATCGTTGGATACGTTTCAATGTACTCTAGTCCTTTCTGAGTGAGAGAGCACTATGTTTTTATACTCTAAGTAGGGTCAAGTAGAACTGTTAAACTTAGTGGAGACTTCTGCCGTCGAACTGGTCAAAAAATGCGCCTTAACGCATTTGTCACATTGTATGCTACAGGTAACAACAAAACGGCATCCAGGTCGCTTACACGAGTTCACCATGACCATGGTGAAATGTGGGTTGTTAGGTAGATCCTATAAAGGTTTGCGACCAAAAAAACAAAGAATACACACAGAGATAGTGGAATGGATAAACAGATGGTACAAGAGTTTAGGACATACTAAAACTAGCAAATCACGTTAGGACTAAGTTTTCCATTCGTAGAGCGCGTGCTCCCAGATAACTGCGAAGAGTTAGATGGGAGCTGGTGGGTATTTGAAGAAGCAAATCAGAGTAACAACTATGATTTGCAGTTATTATTGAGGCTAGTGAATGGTTCAATACATCGACCACTATGCATAATAAATTTATGTACATGCAGGGATAATATCAAAAATAAACGGACGTCAAGAGGATACGGGTGTAAGCTCTCCTGGACGACAACTAACTCATCCTCAGCATCATTCAGATTTGCCAGCTCTTTCTAAAATTCATTATTACATACAGAACAAAATATATTCACACTTTTTTTTGGTCGTAATCGGATGTATAATCTTTAAGTTTTAAGTTCCACGTTGCAAAGCTGTTTATCCTTTGTTGATCCTCATGCGTTACTTCAATATCTTCCTAGCTATAGTGATCAAAACAAGCACTTGACGTACCGACATCGCGAACCAAAAGTGACCTTGATAAACAATTTCACCTCTTTAAACTTCAGTGGTGAGAATGAAGAGTTGACTTATATTAAACAAATAGTTGTGAACGCATTGGAAAAAGCTTTCAATCATCAGGCTTTCGTACCTTATAACAAAGGAACACATATAGATCATTTTTGTCAATTGCACTTACTTTGTTGTTTCTATCACGTTCCAACCGTTAAATATGTGCTTAAGCGTCTGAAATAATAATTCGGGAACTACGTCGTCCAGAGAGTGAAAAATGATTCTTGGTTATGTGGCGCGGAATAGCAAGTCAAATTTTGAACCGGAGGTTCTCGTTATTGCTTCATTGCACATAAAAACCTGTGCAGTATGAAATCCCAATTGGCTACCACGTTAAGTTGTGGGTGGATTAGTCAGAAATTTACTTAAATTTTCAGAAGTAATGCGCCGGTTCAGCTACATATTACTATCAATACTGCCAGGTAAAAAAATGTACGGGTTGGTAATGACGAAATTCCTTCAAGGACTAACACAGGCCATCAGGCCTTCTGTCCTTCCCGAACTGAAACTGATCTTAAGTCTTTGTCAACAATCTACTTAAGGTATGTGAGCTTTCTAGGCACTACTGCAAAATGCGAAGACGGATGCTTGTGAAGTGGACATTCCAGCCCATTAAATATCGTCCAAACTTTGCAGGCTAGTTTACAACATGAATCCCTCACGACTCACTTAACTCAAACTGCTGTCACAAAAAAGATAGTAGTATATTGGGAAATCACTGGAATAATCAACAACTATTGTGACCAATCGGTTTCAGTAACTTAGATAACTTCGCAACTGTTCAACGAATAACTGAATGCAAAATCAGCGTAAGGATAGCACGCTTTCTCCATGATAATATGGATGTTTATGTATTCATATTCCCCATCAGTTTTTATTATTGTGAACCTTTGGCTATATCTGAAGCAATAATGGATATATCAACTCAGCCCATTGTAAATAGATGATTTTTGGTGGCACTTTTTTGTAACATCGGCTATTTATATACCCACTTCTCTTAGTTTCACTGAAATAATACATGTCGATATGAAGTCCAGCACCTCTTTCCCTAATAAAAAATTATGCATTGGAGTGCCCGAAGCATAACACTCGTCTGTTGTAGTACATTGGAAGAAAGTAATAAAAGTTTCCCTTCTCATTTTCTGACATAATCAAAGTGGTAGGGAAGCGACAATTATCAAGAGAAGGATTTCTTACTTATGTGGATTTCGAAATGGTCCGACCTTAAACTACGTTACTAAGATTTATATGTGGCATAGGATCACTTTAGATATATCGTGGCACTAAATGACAGATCCCCATACTAAATCATATAAACGGAGGTACACCACTCACGACAATCGGTTTATTTCCACAAATAACAACCGACCAACACATCGCAAACCCGATAGCAGATGCTAAGCGTCGTAGACGATGATTTCCCGGAAGAAGCTGTACATATCAACCTAATGTTGACCGAAGGGAGATACGACACCAGTGCCCACTTGGTCTATGGTTATGAACGTCTTCGATAACATACGTAAATTAGGTAAAGACAATACCCTAAAGGAGACCTCTCATTGTCAGCTATCTCAGCGGAATAGTAGGACCAGGAGGCCACGACTTAATATCTAGAAGTACGCATTCTAATATGTCATCGATTAAGACCCTAATGACAAATCAGTCAAGAAACCAAGCATGATCGATTTTCAGAAGTAATACATACACAGCATGGTTACTGATGTACCTTACACTTGACTACGCAATCGAAAATACTAACACAATGGTGGAAGTTGTAATTCCACTTCGACACCTCCAACATTTTCATCCCAGATCTTGACTGTTAAGAAGACGAACCGGTGTCAGAATATACATAATCAGAAATTAGCATTTATAACGCGGACTCTCTTCGGCGATTAAAAATTACGCCATAAGACACGTTTTTTTCTGAATGTACCTCAAGGATGAGAAAAATACATTCAGAAACCTGCCAGATTACAATAGAAAAAAGTACCGAAACATGACCGGATGTCAAGTGAGCGATAATCACATTGAATTAATAGATCATATCACTTTCATTACTGCTTACTAGTTACTCTGTAGATCATTTGCGTAACCTTACTATGTAAGGAAAATAATACTGAAGACTTTAGACTACGAGACAAACACACCCTTATGACTACACATGGACAAATATGTTCAGTCTGATGCATACATACTAAAGACTTATATGACTAAGGCGTGTATTTCTAGGGTAACAGTCGCGAAGTCCTATGAATCTCATTTTGCTTAACTTTCAGGCACAGAAGCTATCGCGTGCAGTACAATTTTGACGAGACTCGATAACACAACCATAAACAGACAGAGTTAACTACCTGGAATTATCTGTCCAGTTTCAGGAATGATGTGGAATAAACGACCTTTTCGAGACGCACTAGATATAAGATGAACTTAAGAAAAATATGTATACTTAGGAAAAAAAAGATTTGTACCCTGACTCAGTAGAAAATAGATTTATAAAGGCACAGACAGCAAAAAGATAAAATATACTGAGTGATGAATCACAGTTTCGGACTTTTTACAATTAAACGCATAAAATTTTATTCAGGTATTAACAGAAGTTATTGGACTTATGGAATTCGACAGACCACCTGTGTAGTTAGCCTGAAGACATAGATACAAAATTGCGAGAAATAGATTTAGTCCCAAAAGGCTACTACCAAGGATAAGAACAACAGTAAAAACCATATTCCTTTTCGGGCGTGATGGTAATATGCCTGGAAGAAATAAATCCAAGAACGCTTTCAAAATCCATTGACCGTCAAGAGCATAACAAGGCACAACGTTGAGTATCACGAGGGCACCGGACAATGAGAACAGATACCTAATTGTTGAAAAAAAATTAATTAAGGAAGTTCATACCGAAGAAATATGGAAAATTCAATACGTCAATTTATAACTCAATCACAAAGTACCCGATTTTAGACATTTTTCCGAGGTAGACGACATATGGTAAATGTATTGAACTTACTGTTCACGCTTCAGAAATCTATAACAATACTCCTTAAATTACCTCATTTCTATTTATTGTAGATATTGTTAGTATCATTTGTATGATCTGGTTAGCGTTAGAAAAATTAAGCAGTTTAAATGTATGTGGACAAATAATAGCATTAATATATATATATAATATATATATATAAAGTATACATTAGTTGAAAAAAAGAACTTAAAGATCATTGCATTTTCCACTGAATGGATAGAGGTATAATCAATGATGAGAAAATTGGGTATTGTTTACACAATTACATCCTTTATTCTTCAAAATTAATGGATCAAATTACAACTGTTTCTCGCAAAACTTTTATTTTCTTCATTCGAAATTTGTTCGAAATAGCCGTATAAAAAGGCGTTTGAGCTTTAATGAATAGAGTGCAAGCTTCTACTCTGACATAGCTGAGATGCTGGGTAATAAGTGATTAGTATACTAGCTTCTAGTAAAATGAATGGGATCATCTTTCACGAAGTACAAATAATGGTTTTTACAGGACGTTCGACACAACCAATTAAAATATAAATTGCTTACGTGCATAGTAATCCAAGGAAGGAAGGCAAATTTGGTGAAAGTATGGAAGGCCAACGTGGGACATAGTCGGAAACCCCTATAGAAGCTACAAGATCTTCCAATGGACCCAAGAAAAGAATTGCAGGGGCTTTATGGCGATTATGCACTAGGCGCACTAGACGAGTGGAATTGTCTGGGGGGCTTGGTACAACACAATACATTGATCGAGTAGATATGACACCCAGTGATTCGCTCTGTATTCCGTTGTTATTGCCACGCATAGCGCCAAGATTACCACAATCAGAGGTCACATTGCAGCTGGTACGCTCAGTTACAGCACGTGCCGGCAAGCAAGCATATCTTCGGGACTGAAAAACAACAATAAATTCAAGTCAAATATTTTAAGTTATGACAAACAGGCAACACATAAGGATTGTGAAACTGGCAAAAGACCAATAAATATGGAACAAAGCTAGAATTGTTTAACTTAAATAAAACACGCAAAACGTGAGAGTGTAAACCAATTTTTAACTCAAGTATGTTGGGCAGTCAACAATAAAATAAATAATTTTAATTTGATACCGAAATGTAGAACAAAAAATGATTGATTACATGTACAGTAAAATAAGACAAAAAAACACTTATTTTCTGAAGGACTTTATATGTCATTAGACCTATGCCCATTCTAACAACCAGAGCAACAATTTTTATGGGTAAATGCGACGTCCAGACAATGTGGTAGATCGAAAGGACCCGTTAAATAGCTACGAAAATGAGGTACGACTTGGAGGTGCGTGGAATAAATGAAACCCGTTGGACATAAGTTGGACAGGAAAGTATAGAGGAAGGAGAGATGCTGCTGTACTCTGGTCACAAAAAAGAAAATGACATCAACGACGACGATAAAGACCAGTTTTATGAGAGGCTGCATTAGACTGTAGGGAAGTGACCAGGAAAGGACATGGCTATTCTGATGAGAGACCTAAACGCCAAAGTCAGAATAGACAACACTGGGTATGAAGATATCGTGGGACAATATGAACTAACTAGGAGAAAGGAATGAGAATGGCGAGAGATTTGGAAATCTATGCGCATTCAACAAAACGGTTATCGGTGGCACTATTTCCCCCACAAATACATACACATAGTTACATGGGTCTCACTGGATCACACTACATGGAACCAGATCGATCATATCTGTATCACTGAAAAGTTCAGAAGGTCAGTGGAAGAGATGAGGAACAAGAGAGGAGCTGACATAGCTTCGTATCACCGTCTAGTGGTTGTCAAGAAGAAACTAAAGATAAAGAAGCACTGGACAACTGGAGAAACAACAACACAACGGTTCAATACAACCTATCGACAAACTCGACCAATTCAAAACAGCGCTCAACAACATGTTCCAAGACTAACACTATCTACTCTAAGAAGAAACTACTATGGAGGACCATAGTACAAGGATCAAAGAAGCACTAACTTCAACGTGTCAAGAGGAGCTGGACCGCAAGAAGTGTCATCATAATAAATGAATCTCCATCGAAAACAAGGAAAAGATTCACGAAAGGAGGAACAAGATAACAGCAAATAACAACAGTCGAAGAACAGAGAAACTGAAGGCACAAGTTGAATACATAAGTGTCCCTCATTATAGAGCATATGCTTAGATTCAGATCATGCTCTACTGCGAGCGCGTATTCGCCTGCGTCTTACTGGACGTAAGAAAGACGCTGCAAGGAAACCTCTTAGGGCCCTACTTAATGATAGTTAAGCTAAGATTATATTTCAGGAACAACTAGAAGAACAGTTAGGCAGCCATGTATGTGATGCCCACCCCGAGGCAGCATGGAATGATATCCGAAAAGCTGGGGAAACAGCAGTGATATATGCTAGTGCGGCAAACCACAAGGTTAGAGAGAAACACTGGATCTCAGCAGCACCTACCGCACTGATAGATGCGCGAAAACTCATCGCATCTGGCTCTTAACATAACGAAGAGCGGAGTCAGCTTAAGCGCAAGCTGACAAGAAGTCTACGCAATGACCGTGAACAGTGGTGGGTAGCGAAAGCAAGAGAGATGGAAAAGGCAGCGGCAATAGGTAATAGCAGACAATTGTTCAGACTTATTAAGGAAACCGGTATTAGGAAACTGACTGTTAGCGAAACAATCTCAGAGGAAGATGGACATATTATACATTCTCAATCCAGGAGATTGGATCAATGGGCAGAACACTTCAGGGATCAGTTCAACTGGCATTCAGCCACACTTCGGTTTCCCACGATCTCCGGTCAACCTGAATGGCAAGTTAATGTAAGTCCTCCGTCTCTTTACGAAGGTGAAAAAGCCATAGGAAATCTGAAGCGAGGGAGTGCAGCAGACCCTGACAGGTTTACTCCTGAGATTTTTAAGGATGGTAGTTCAGTATTAGCAGTGAAATTAACTGAGGTCTTAGGTAGAATTTGGGAACTGGACGTAATCCCATCTGACTGGTCTCAATCACTGATTGTGCCGGTCTATAAGAAAGGACAAAAGTCTTCTTGTGACAATCACAGAGGAATCAGTTTGACTGATATAGTGTCTAAAATATTAGCTTCAATAATACTTCGACGCCTAACTAAGGCTCGTGAAGAGCAGACTAGAGAAAACCGGGCTGGTTTCCGACCTGGACGTGGTTGTATAGACCAGATATTCACACTACTTTAGGCCCTAGAATATAGACACATTCAGACGCCGCACAATCGTAGTATTTCTGGACCTTAAGGAGGCATTTGACTCTGTCGATCTTGAGGTTCTGTGGCAGTGTTTGTCATTGGAAGGAGTACCAAAGAAGTACATTAACCTTGTAAAGGCTCTCTACTCGAACACAACTGGTCGTCCTTTTATTGATAAACGGATATCTCGCCTTCGCCATAGGTGACGAAAATTGGCAAAAGCCAGACGAGCTTTTTGAATCCGTGCTGAGATTTCGTCAGACACCGAATCATTAGGACTGATCAGACTCACAATTGATTGATCACTGGGTGGTGATCAATGTCATGCTTGTCTAGTCCTTATTAAAGCAGATCCAATGCTATCGATCATGTTGCAATGTGGCCACCGGTCTAGGTGACTCGACACTGCGTGCACTATATATTGAGATTAGATGGTGGTTGGAGGTAGTCGACAGGAAACCCTCGACCCGGGTTTCGTGCTACTTGGCACTCGTCAGCAAGGTGTACCTGTAATCTTGAGGGAACTGGCGCTCCCTGGCGGATTCGATCTCGTGTCACCCAGCATGACATTGATCACCACCCAGTGATCAATCAATTGCGACTACATCCCAGTGCTACAGGAGGTTAGTCACGGCTCGGATAGCTCAGTGGTAACGTCTTTGATTGTGAAGCTGGGTGACACGAGATCGAATCCGCCAGGGAGCACCAGTTCCCTCAAGATTACAGGTACACTTTGATGATGAGTGCCAAGTAGCACGAAACCCGGGTCCAGGGTTTCCTGTTGACTACCTCCAACAACCATCTAAACTGATCAGACTCCCAAGATGTGTGAAGTTGTCAACGCGTTCGACTAATTCACCCCCTATCCTTAGTTCAGGTTTTGACGCAGGCCAGTCCTGAAACAACAACTTGCATTTAGAGGGGGAAAAGCGTATCCCAAACATTCTAGCATTGTTACTTAGTGCTACCAAAAGACTCTGCAATTTGTCAGCGTCTTCACCAATCAGGACTATATCATCTGCGTATTCTAAGTCGTTAAGTGGACCTCCTGGTAGGAGATCAATGCCCGAAAACTCAGTCAACGACAGCGTTATTTCCATCAGTAGGTCTATGATCAAGTTAAACAAAAATGGAGAAAGTGGACAGCCTTTGCGGACACCATTTGAGGTTGCAAAAGCAGATAACAGTTCGCCATAAGCTCTGACTCGACTAGTAGTGTTCAAGTAATGAGCCTGCACAAGGTTTATGTATTTCTGAGGTACGCCTTTCAATGACAGACACTGCCACAGAATCTCGCGGTCTATGGAGTCAAATGCTGTTTTTAAGTCAACAAAGACCACCATTGGCGGACACCGGTAAGCATGCCTGTGTTCTAGAACCTGACGAATGGTGAATATGTGGTTGATGCAGCCACGACCAGGTCTGAAGCCAGCCTGGTTTTCGTGTGTTTGCAGTTCACGAGTCTTAGTTAGTCGACCGACAATTATTGATGCTAGTATTTTAGATGCTATGTTAGTCAGGATGATTTTGACCCTCTCTTATATATTGGGACGATCAGTGATTGTGACCAGTCAGATGGGATTACGTCTAACTCCCAGATTTTAGCTACAATATTAGTCAAACTAATCGCTAGAATCGGACCACCATCCTTAAAGACCTCTGAAGCCAATCCATCTGGACCAGCTGCTCTTCCTCGTTCCAGATTAACTATAACCTTTTGAACTTCAGCTACAATTAAGGGACCTACTCCAGTGTTCCATTCACACTATCTGGGAATGGTGGGTAGTTGTAGAGTAACTGAAGGCCAGCTGAACTGCTCTCTAAAATGTTCCGCCCATCGTTTTAAACGTCTGGACTGGGAGCATATGAGAGCGTCGTCTTTTTCCAAGATAGTCTCAATTAAACTTGACTTATTAATTCCAGTTTCTTTTATTAGTCTGTAGAGCTGTCTTGTGTTCCCTATAGCCACCACCTTTTCTATCTCTTTTGTTTCCGTTGCCCACCACTGCTCACGGTCGTTCCTTATACCTTTGCTTAACCTAGATCTGATTTGTTTTCGCTCATCATCGTGTTCAGAGCCTGATGGGACGAGTTTACGAGAATTCATCAGGGCAATAGACTTAGAAGAAATCCATTGGTTTTTTGTAACTCTTTGGTTTAAATCGCTAACAGATGTCACTGCCGTTTTCACAACTGATTGTATATCTTTCCAAGAAACACCGGGGTCAGTCTCGTTTTCAGAACTAACTAAGTGTGAACTCAGTTGTTCCTGGAACAGACTTTTGGTTTTCTCGTTACCCAATTCACTTCCAATGGGTCTTTTTAGTATGGCTTTTCTGAGTCCAGTGAGGCGCATGCAAATGCGTGCCCGTATTAGAGCATCGTCGGAGTTCAAGCAGGTACTCCAGAATGAGCGACAATCTTCTACCGACCCTCTCCGACGATGACTGATGGGAATATGGTCTGTTTGAGTCCATCGTTGCTTTGGTACAGAGGGTCGCCATGTTAGACGATGTCTCTCCTTATGCTTAAAATTTGTGTTTGCTAAAAATAGACGATTGCCTGAGCACAGTTGCAGCAGACGATCACCATTATCTGTTCGTTGTGCCGGAATACTAAAATACCCACCTAAATGTCTTTTTGTTTGGTTTAAACTACCTACTTGGGTATTAAAGTCACCTGCTACGATCACTATATCTGAACGTTTAGCTTTCTGACGAGGTCCAGAGAGCTTTCTATAAAAGTCATCTTTCACTCCATTCGGACTGCAGTCAGAGGGAATGTAGACAGGAATGACGGAAATGCAACGACGCGTATCCCTATACTCCCGAGTTCTTACGGAACCGTTTAGCCGAACAGCACATAGACGACTGTTAACAGGGATCTACTCCAATAATGCTTGTTCAAACGTTAAAAACAAATCTTTATGATAACGTGTCAATTAAACAAACTATATAAAAAAGCACTTAGATAAAACTAAATGATTTAGATATTTATTTTAATTAGTTGAGGTGATCAGTTAAGGTGCTATTTTGGAAAACAAGTATAAATTTAATATTTTTTTAAAAGTACAAGTGATATGTGTGATACAATAAAATATTTCTTCGCACAGAAACGGCCATATATCAACAATGATGATGTGTTACAATAATATTTCAACACTTCAGTACACGTTTTTGGTATGTTGGGATCACTATCAGGTGGAGGAACATATACACAGAGTCAATTACGCATGTGTTTTATAAGAATAACACAGCACCTCACCTACATTTAAGTTTATTTACGTTTAGTTTTGTCAAGCCTTTTATTAGTATGTCTGTATGAACATATGTGCTCGATCACGTGCTAGAGCCTACACACATATCCGTCTTACTAGCTTAAGTGTTAGTTGCTTAAATAGCACGTGACTCTTCGCTTTCCTATAAATAATTCCTTAAATCTTATCAATTAATACAACGCTTGATTCGCGTTTCTACTCGAATTCGCTGTGTGCTTATGGTTAAGTGATCTGCACTGTACACTTCGTATTGTCTTCTGAAACCTATACATCATTTTGAGTTATCTAATAACAGTTATCAGGATAAGTGATATACGAAGCCTTAGGAATTATCTCGAAGATAATCCACTACAAGATATAAATCAGATGAACTCGACTATTTTAAAATCAATAGAATATATGCACCTATTTGCTCCCATTACATTGACTACGACAATACTACGGTTGAATTTTCAGGAAAGTATTATGTGGGTGCAATCACAAAGATTTTAACGGACTGCCCTACTCTACATTTAAAACAGAGGATTTAAGTAAAAATAAACATCTGAATTCACCGAACCAGTATTAAAGAAATTATAGACAAAAACCATGACAATAGATTTCATTAACCAACTCAAAACCACACTATTACTTTTATTACCGCTCAGATGGATTAAAAAATGTAGCAGTAATAATAACACTGTTAAAATTTAAGCAGTAAAATCACTTCACAAATAATCTATCTGTCTACATATATCATAAAGGTAAATATTTAGAAATACACTAAAATAATTTTAAATGAGAACACAATTAAAACTGAATTAAATAATAATGGAACTTTATCTTACTGTAGAACTCAGCTTTGTAGGTGTTATGTAGGTAAAACACAAATGAGTCGACGCTGACTGAACTGTGCAACAATCTTCATTCAGTTTATTTTGATTACTGACTGATTCGAAACTATCATTTTCATCCAATTTATTGACAGAAACAACCGCGGATAAACTACGACGTGGAACAGAGGCTTTATTATCTATCATGCTTAAATAGGCTCCAGAAACACAGTAGCCAGATGGATGAATGTATGCCTCCTCTAAACATTTGAACCAATCAGATTGCTGATTTACTGGGCAGGAATTTACCCGAGTGATAGCATCACCAAGAGCAAGCCCACGATACCCTGTGACGACAGAATCCTGAAAAAGAAATCAAGAAAATGTCTTGACTGTTCTTAAGACCTACGCGAACCTATCCTAACTTTTGGACAGATAAATTATTTAACATATGATCTCATATTCGTAACTTATTTGTGACTGTCAATTATATTCATGTATTTTTTAAGTGTGCATGGCTTAAGCATACATCTGTCATTTGTAATTTAATTGGTTATCTGTAGTTTGTACACTATTTACCTTGTCATAAGAACCGAATCACTCAGGCTAAATGCTAAATTCTACATTTGCTCTCACTGATTGCCTGCTGCGTAGGTGAACGTTTTGCATTGATTTATTCGAAACACTACCCATCTCGGACTTTTAATTTCCCATTGTCATTCACGAGAACAGCCTACAGAACGTGTACAAATGACCTGTGCTTCATACATAAATATCAAAGGAGTTAACCAAGAGCTATATGAAGTTTGTGATTTTTTGAACTTCAGTATAGGTGTGGTGTGTGCTACCTAAATTGATATAAGTAGTATATGACGCGAGTTAAAAACGCAATGTCTGGCAGCAGAAGATAGGAGAAGATCAAGAAAGGAAGAGCGGGAACACAATGCAATTTGTGAGGAAACGCATGAACAATGAAATGTGAGACAATGGATTGATGTTGACAACAGGAACAGTCCGGTTTGATATGATGGATTTATATTTTGCAAATTAACGATTTATTATATGGTTTTTCTATTTTAGCGAGTAACTGTAATTTTGTGCTAAATACATTTGGTTGTCCCCACACGTGTTCTGTTTACCAAATAGGAATTGATTGTGCATCATACAATTAAATACTTTTGATGAACAGAAAAGTTGAGGATCCCATCTACAAGAACAATGGTCAATATCAAAGTCACATTAGCAAAACCTAGGAAAATGATTTAATGGCAACTCAGTAGACTAGAAGTGTTTTGAAATGTCTAGTAGAAAAGTGATTAAACATACCACTTTGGCAAAATCAAGAAATCCCAAGTCAGTTATTTTTCTTGGTACATTATAACATCTAACTGACTATAATTTGGTTTAATGAAGATAAAAACCGACTTGGTTTACGTAAGTACAAAACCTATAACATCGTCATTAAACGATTTTAGCGCGGAAACAATGAATCATCGATACACTCTTACCCTGCTCAAAATGTCATTCACTTTATTTAAGGGTTTATTTGTGTTTCGGGAACGGTTGAGAAAATCCTTTCGGATAGGATTATTTTTCTAAAGTATAACACTGAATTGGTTTTTTTGTAAATTTAATCTTTTTTGTGATAGTTGTGCGTTGGTTTTCATTTATATGCAATATTTAAGGATGAGGGAATACTATTCAGTTTTTAGTAATAAAGTAAATATTGCAAACGTACGTAGTCTTGATATATGACCCAGAAAGCTTTTATTCTGTCAAGTTACAGAGAAACCTATTAACTCAATCTTAACTATCATGGTTTTATTTGAAAACAATTATTTTCAATAACTTTGTCATTAGGATCTACAGTCATAAGTCCATAATCATTGCGTTATAAGGGCTAAAATAAGTCATGGTCAGTGAATAGGATAACTTGAAACTTTTGCAATTGTTACGGCATAAATACTTCGAAAATGGGTTATTTGTAAATTAGAATGGTCATTTACAACAGATCAAAATGATTGGCAATTTTGCACTTTTAGGTGTCTTAAGCAGCAAGATTACGAATCGTATACATAGCTGAAGCCATCAGGATCAACTTTAGAAGACCTAACATATGCACTCAAAAGAGATATGTTCAGCCTGTTTTCAACTCCATTCACAATTAGATCACCGTATACTTAAACCAGACATTATAAACCACTTACTCCCCGATTCCCCTTTATGTTTGTATCTGATTTTCCCCCATTCTTAATTTAAACATCCATCATTACGAATTCACATGAACTTGTTAACATGGTTACTTTGTTAACACCTCTTCCATCACATACTGTAATCACATGGTATTATTATTATATCAAGTTAACCATCATTTTATTCCTCCTTTTCGGACGACATTCTAAGCGTTTAGCCTTTCTTATTATCATTGTCACTGCATTATTCAAACCCTTTTCCCATTTATCCTGTTAATTTTATCACATCACGATAATGTAGTATGAACACTTGGGGCTAAATCACATTTGTATCAGGCTGAAGGTTGATTACAACTGACCGCACACGTAATGTAGTGTAGTTGATAACTCAATTAAAGTATAGACTCATAGTAGGCATTTTACACATCAATGAATGATATTAATTGTTATTGGGAAAAGGATTTTTTGAACGATCGATGTTATGTTTTATAGTTTACTTCCTTGCATTAAATAAATGTATACCATGACTGAAATATCTCAATATAGGATCATTATTTATTAACGAATTCTAACTCGTGATAACGAAAATGAGAAGCCGACAATCTGTAAGTGTAAATACGATTGCTACTCAAACATAAATGTCTCTCAAATCGATCTGAAAAAGTTAAAGTATAGACTAACTGGTAGTTTTGAGAGTAAATTAATATTTTATTCTCAAAAAAGACATTTTGTTTATTTTTTTACAACATAACGTCCAATTTAATAAGGTATCGAAAAATGTGTCAAATGAACAGTACTATGTGCAAAAATTACGAAAGCATTCGTTTAATTGAATCCAATACAGAATTTTTGCTGACGTACTAATTATAAATTTATTATATGGAAAGTACACAGGACCGATTAATCCCTTAGTAACTTGACAACGATAACATGTACTATGTAACAAGATCAAACATTTTAAAAAATGAACTGTGGACACTTGTGTGAAATAAGAAACGCATACTCAATAATCGCATTATTCGGTAATAAATTCTTAGCAATGGTAGTATTCAATAATGTTCTAACAAAGATGACTGGTCATAATTTTAAAATGAAACTAATAAGTGAAATAACAAAAGTAATTTAATGGTTGAATTCATGAGTCAACCATTGCCTTCAGTGAGTTACTATCTCACGACAGACCTGGTTGAACCCCATTGGTCACGGCCTTTCACTAGAACTCCAGAGAATACCTCTTGAAGCCAGTCACTAGTGGCGCAATTTCGTGGATTGGTTGGAGTTAGACATTAGCACCGTTGGATGCCGGGTCAGTGGTCTAGAAGTTAGGCTCTCACACACGAGACCGATAGGCCCTGGGTTCGAATCCCGCGAGCCGAATCGTGGATGGGCGCTGCTGAGGAGTCTCATACTAGGACGAGACAGCCGTCCAGTGCTTCCAGGTTTCCCATGGTGATCCAGCTTCAAGTGACTGATGAATTCAACCATCAAATTACTGAAATCTCCACAAAACCCTTTTCTGATAATAATTAACAAAAGTGAAGCTTTTATGGACGGAATTTTTAGTAAAACCAATTTAACACTAATAACGATATATTTGATGACAAGTTTACTATGTGAAAACTATGTTTATACATGATGTTTCAGTGCAGACCATATTAGGCACTGTTGGGTGACCGGAGAGATTAAGTAGAAGAGATGTGCATGCTTGTATGCATAGGATTTAATTTACTCAATAGTTTCTTCTCGATTTTATGAAACTTGTGCACCAGATTTACAACAAACGAATTAAGCAACACATTAGATTTAGTCAGTTAGCAACGATCAATGTAGAGTCTGATACATATGGGCGTTGGCACAAGTTCCCATGCGACACTAGCAAGATGTGATAAAAATGAATGGGAAAGGGACCGAAATAATGTAACAGCAATGATAATAAGGGAGATTAAACATCGTGAATATGGTGTATGAAAGGTAGAATGAAAAAAGTATGTATTAAAGAATACTAGAGGAAGAAGAATTGTGAATGAATCTGCGTCATTATGATCGATTCTGAGCTATGTCAGCCAACGTCCTCAATCACTGATTGGGGTCTGCGCGATAGCTGGAATCAGCTACCTTTAACAGTGTTGGATTATATATAAACGATACAGCTTAATTACTTTAAATACTGGACTTTCAGCTTGCTATGATTTTTCCTGCATACAACTCAACAATCAACGTACTCAGTTGAACTCGACCCTCTGAGAAAAAGGACAGTATGTATAAGAGGTATGTCACAAAGATAAATGTTGTAATAAGGGTAACAAAACAGAAACACAAACAGTCACACCAAAGTTGTATCGGAAAGTTTTTACCATTTTCGGTGATTGTTCAACAGCACTGATAAGTAAGAGGGGTAATCAGTATATTTCAATCATTTCCACACTGGCAATGTGAAGTTAATTTACTAACCAATCTTATTAAATCAGTTGGATGCCGGGTGAACATAACACCTCAGTTCGAATCAAAATTAGGTTAGTTTATGTACAGAAAATTGAAGGTAATTATAGCATTTTAGATGGCCTTGAACTTTTGGAACGTTCTGGGACCCTACTAAACATAGTAGCCTGATAAATAATCATCCAATCAAGAATGTGAAATATGACTCTTTACTTTCTAAATGCTTCTGAGAAACTTCTATTCAGTGCTGATAGGATAAAATGTTTTCGAGTCTTCAGGGCCCCTTTGGGCATTTTTCGAGTAATACTGTGGGCCTCCCCAACAACTTGGCGTTACAAAAGAGCGGTGTACAGTTGATTTTTAAGTATTAAGGTTCTGAGTCTTGTGTTGATTTACCTTTCAGCTCAATATGAATCAGAAATAAAAGTTCTAAAAATGACAAAACCCTTTCATATTGGGATTAACACTAGTTGTTTACAAATATAATAAATAATTTTTGCTTTCTGCAAGCCTAAGATGCTTTGGAAAAAATATAGAGGAAGCTAGATATTATCACCTGAAGAGTGTTCAAATGTATCGGTAGTGAGACAAATGGAAAATTATTAAAGATTCTAAGAAGTCGTGAGCCAGACGTACTAATGAATAATAGTAAAATTTTTCCTTACAATCGACACAACTCAGAAAAAGTAAATAAGAGGTATATCGGATAACACTAATCTCAAATTTTATTCGGGAAGTGTAGTTTAACTAATCAACTATCTATTATAACACAGTATACGTATAAAATATATGAAATGGTATAATCAGATTATCAATGACCAGAATAGCAGTGTTGTTACGATTAAAAGTACTGAATTACACACATTTTCGTTAATCTCCACAAAAAAGGATTCGTATTTTTCTAAAATGTCCGTCACTTACCTCTCTTAAGTATGTGACACCCACCCCAGTTCCTACGTGGTAGCCAGGCGATAACAGGAAAGGTAGTAAGTAAAATATAATTATGCTGATTACGGCAATTACGGCATTGTGCCAAACACCAGCGCAATATACACGAAGCTGACAAAACGGTGAAAGACTCTGAAGATCTGCAGTGTTGAGGTCAACGAATGCACCCGGATAAAACCCAAACACAAAGATTCCGAATCCATGAAGGCGAACGCGTTCACGCACAGCTGCGAGAGCGTGTCCTGCTTCATGTATGAATGCGCATATAAGCAATGTGAGAGCATAAAATCCCAAATGACTGGTTGGTAAGTTTATTCCCGGCATCTACAGCAAAAAAAGAATACCGTGAGAAGTAAACAACTGAAATAATAGGCAATAAGAAAAGTACAAAGTTGCTATAAAAGAATAAACTTGAATGCTTTCGTTAAAATTAGTACGCTTAAAAAATAGGTTACTTGGATGAGTACAAGTTTCTACTAAGCACGTTTTAACTTGAGTTTTAACGTGTCATTAATTAAAGTAGCAATAGGCTACTGGACAATTCTCAAATCATACACCCCAGTGAAAACATTTTATCAGGAACACAAAGTGAGAATAAAAATTATTCTAATTTCCCACAAAAAAATAAGCAGTCGTAAAAGTAAGTTTGTATTAGTGGATATAGGTAATGCCCTTACAACAGTCAAAAAAGTTTGATTTTAAACCACTGCCGAACAAGAAATTCAAAAGCCGGAAGGAAAAATAGTATATAAACCTGGTTAGTCGCCAAATACTATGAAAGTGAAACTCCTGTTGTTGACTTTTCATTTTAAAATTAGTCAGTTCAATTCAAATATTGAGAAGGACTTCCTTGAGACAACAGCATGCATTAACCTAGGAATCTAGACACTAACACAAAAAATACAATATGTGGAGGTTGATATGACGGTCAGTTTATGATGCGAGTAGATAAGGTGAACAAATAAATGTGACTGGGATAACCTGATCTATCTTTAAAACATGGGGGTAATAAAAACCGTGAGTCTGGATAGCTTGGGATTTCGGATACAGCTTAAAACCAAAACAAGTGACTATAATAATTGTTTTCTTCTGTCTTTTACCTGAAGCTATATAGATCAAAATTCGACGGAAGCCCCCAAATTCCCTGGTACGGCCGACAGTGGGAAGAGTCCGTCCTCCCTCTCGAAATGCTCTCACATGGCCACGCGTATATAGCCTCTGCCAGGGAAGTCCTACTCACTGCCTTCTCGTGGCGAGGGTGTTGTTTACGAAAATGAGAAAACGAAAAGCGAATGTCCGGCGCTTTAACCGGATTCCAAACCAATGGTGCACATGGTCTCCAGTATCCTGAAGGAATAAATGGCGTATGAACCTATTGTTGGCCACCGGCTTCCATGGGACTGCATCTCCTTACGATGCTTTACTGCCTTGTGGATCAGACCTTCAGGTCGAAGGCTCGGGGAGTGGCCTCCTAAGAAAACCACCTGCTTCGGTTTGGGCACCCGGGCAGTATCACAGCCCTCACACATATCGAATGAGATTTGTGTGGCGCATATGTATTTGGTGCATCCTTGTACCAATATCTATGCGTTGAAATTAAATGAAATTAAATTAAAATGCAAATATGCGATGGAGTAGAATTTTATGATGTATAAGTGTTAGGGATGCTGAGGAATATACCAATCATTATCATGTTAAGTCTAATGATTTCCTTGGACTCTAAATTGGCATTCCCTATTGGCCATTATTTATTTCACCCGTTAAATATTGTACAGATGTTGTTTTCTATTTTTATGGTACGATGTGGTCTGTTTGGTTAGTATATAAACAGAGTATGTTTGAAATATAACGATTCATAACTCAGAGGCTGTGACTTGCGTTCTAGACTCAACTGACTGGGCTAGACAGGGAAGCGGGACCAATCGGGACTCTGGGTCGTCCTTACGTGTTTTACGTGTCACTGTAATCGATCGATAATACGCTGCTTATCAAAACCTGCAGTCCACACGTTACAACAATAAGGTATATTAGAGAAAATACCGATCTAATTTCACTCTTTTGTCAGACTGTCAGTCATATACGATGTAAGACCTGCGCAAAAATATGCATCAGTCTAAGTTGATACATTTTTGCCAAAAGCAGTGAAAGAAATTAATAAGATGAGAAGCAGAGGAGGAAAAATAAAAAATACCAACTGAAGTGGAAAAGTGAATACGAGAAATGTACTTAAAAGGAATGAGTGAAATTGAAGAATAAAAGTATGGAATGACAGCTCAAAATTTAGAGGAAAATAAAGAATGAATTTAACCATATCACTGAGATCTGCATTGGGCTATATTAACCAAATTCTATGATTACAGACTGGGATAATCAAGACGACTTGAAAAAGGAAATTTCGGTACGTTACATGGTTTACGGTAGGAAATTGCTGATCAGAAAAGTTGGGAGTTGAATTCACTAGTCACCTTTATTTTATTACGCTTTTTATCAACTCTGCTGTTTTATCAAGTGAGAAAAACCCATTATTGCAACCGGGGCAGGTAAAGATAAAGAGTGAATTTTCTTATATCTATCTTAGGTGCTTGCTCTCCATACGTCAAAGCAATAGTGGGAAAGTCACAGCAGTGTTTCTTTTTTAGTAATCATAACAATAAAGCTACCACCTACTTTAAGTGACAAAGTATAGACAGAAAGTGTAGTTTATTGTAAACGTCATAACCCCAGAATTCACAGAAGAAACTAAGTGCCAATTCATTATGAACAAACAATAGTTAAGCATTATTCACTTTATAACAAAGGTTGGCTGAACATTAGAAAATGTGAAATTAAACTCTTATCAATGCTTACCACAGGAATTAGAACCTGAGTTTCAATAGGTTTGCGCATCAAGGTGTTGTAAGCCAACAGGGTAAGCAGACAAATGCTTACTACCATTGATATGGCAGCAAATATCACACCACAAGAAAACCAAAGATTCCAAGGCATACAATTGAAGCGGCATATATAGTGGAAACTATTGTTCAACCGTTGTGTAAATAAGCGTGCTTGTAGAAGATTGAACGAAATCCCCAGCTGAGAAATAATCTCAGTGTACCAATTTCTCGTGTATGAATGTGTACGCAGAGCTATGTCAACCAAATAGACAGAAGCCCACACTCCCAAAAAGTATGATACAAAACTGACAATCGTCATTACACACTTGGTAAAATTAGTGGGAAGAACTGTGAGTACAAATCGCTAAGCAGGGTTGCAATAAAATGAAATAATCGTATTACGATCCATGAATCTATGCAGCAGCACGAATAAAAAGAGTTATGAAGTTACTGGAGTTCATAAAATGTAATTATCCTACAAAAACAGAAAATTATTTATTAAGAAAAATAATGTAAAGACTAAGCAGGAACAGAATAATAAGGTAGATATGGTATGAGTAGTCCACTTTTATCTGTTGAATCCCAAATTTAAATATAACTATATCTCCAATTGTTTTCGTGGTAAAGGAGTCACCAAGCCTCACAAAACAAGACCCAAAATGGTACACGGACCTTTACTTGATTATTGAATTACATTGTCACCCTTAGCTTTCTTCCAACCTTCTCTGACACCAGACACCAGCCACACGTATTACATATCCCAGTCACCTTAATTGAAGATTTATTACTTTATCAGTCATTATGGGATTATTACTATAACCCTATGCATAATCTCAGCTTTAAGAGTTGGGGGACTTACGTTAATTCGCCATTCAGGTTGCTTGGAAAAATTGGCTAACTGAAAGTAAGTTGAACTGTCCCTTAAAATTTTCTGCCGACCGATCCAATCTCCTAGGTTGAGAATGAATAATAGTCCCATTTTTATCCGAGATCATCTCACTAACAACCTGATTTTTGACACCTATTTGCTTGAATTTGAAGAGTTGTCTACTGTTACCTATTGCCGCTGCTTTCTCCATCTCTTTTGCTTTTTCTACGCACCACTGTTAACGATCACTGCGTAGACTGTTTGTTAGTCTACGTTTGAGCTCCATCTACTACTCATTGAGGTTGTAGATGTTCGGAATCTGACATAGTGAGTCACCGATTTAGGAGATACTACTGAAATCGATTGATAATTCCTAAACTCCTGGTTTAAGCCACTGGTAGGTCTGTGGTATATTCACAAATGTTAGGATATCATCCCAATTCATCTCGGGGTGAATATCACTGCTTATTCGGTGCTTTGTGAAGGATATTTTCGACTTTCTCATCATTAAGGTGAATTATAAGGGGTCTTTTTGAAGTGGCTCTTCTCACTCCAAGGAGACGCAGACTAACATGTGCTTGTATTAGAGCACGACTAGTCTAAACAATAGCTCCAGAATGAGTGTCAGTCATCTATCGAGCCTTCTCAACGAAGGCTGATTGCAATAAGGTCAGTTTATACTCGTCGTTGGGTCGATTGTGAGGGTAGCCATGTAAGACGATGTCTTTCTTTATCCCTGAAGTTGGTGATTGCTATTAATAAATCGTTATCCAAGCACAGTTGCAGCAACTGGTTGCTACTATCTGTTCTCAGAGCAGGGACATTGTAAGATCCAGTTAAGTGCCTTCCATTTTGGTTTAGACTACTTACATTAAAGTCACTCGCCAACATTACTAAGGTTGGATGTTTAGCTTTTTGGAGGATGGAAAGCATTCAACAAAATTGTTTTACTTTGTCCGAACTGTAATCAGTGGTAGACACGATAAACAAGCAGCGGCTTGTGTATTTATTTTTTCATTTTTCTATGGTACTGTTTAGTCGGTCAATGCACAAGTGACTGTCTCATAGAATAAAGTCCAGGAAAGTCTGTTTTGCTTTTGTGTCTAATGCTATCAGTCAGTCAATCAGTCAGTAACAACGTAGACCTTCGTACGTACGTACATCAGTTCGAGTTGCCACACCACATTAGCACAGAGATGCAGTGGTCGATTCAAATCCCGTAGTGGTAGAGGTAATAAGAGTATAAGCAGTAATCGGGAAGATTAGTGTTTGCAGATGTTACTTAAAGAGTATAATACAGTGAAAAAAATTTGAGAAGAGAAAAAAAAAGAGACAAGGAGGAGTAAGGAGATCAAAATTTGGGAGAACACAAAGAGTGTATGTACCTGCGCCATTGCAAACGATTTTGAGCCATGTCATTCAGGGTCTCTAACCAACGGTTGCTATCATCTCGCGGTCCCCAACCAAGTAGTCTACACCTACCAACATGACTCAGTCTACTTGTCAGTGACTTCATGGACTTGTGCTATGTTTTGGTCTGGCCGCCCCTAGCTTTCTTCCAACCTACTCCTATACCACTGAACATAGCACGTCGAGGCAGTCGGTCGTTGGGCATACGTAACACGTGTCCCAGTCATCTCAACTGATGAAGTTTCACTACTTCATCAATTGATTTGCCATCCTTACCTAGTACCCGTTTCCTAACAACTGCATTACTTACTCGATGGTCCCAGGATATACGAGCAATATTTCGAAGGCACCTATGATCAAATACTAGTAACCTACGAAGATCCTCTACTCTTACCGGCCATGTTTCACTGCCATAAAGTAGGACGGAACGAACTGCTGCGCAGTAAACACGTCCTTTGGTTGATAGACGGATATTTCGCCTACACCATAAATGACACATGTTGGTAAAAGCTAGTCGAGCCTTCTGTATCCGTGCTGAGATTTCGTCACACACCAGACCACAAGAACTGACGAGACTTCCAAGGCAAGTGAAGCGGTCGACACGCTAAATTACTTCACTCCCTATCATTAGTTCGGGTGTCAATGCAAGCCAATCCTGAAGCAACATTTTACATTTCGAGGGGGAGAATCGCATCCCGAACCTGCTTGCATTGTTGCTAAGAGAGGTCAGAAGACTCTGCATTTTATCAGCGTCTTCGCTGAGTCAAAAGCCTCCTTAAGGTCCAGAAATACTACGATTGTGCAGCGTCTGAATGTGTCTATATTCTAGGACCTAAAGTAGTGTGAATATCTGGTCTATACAACCACTTCCAGGTCGAAAACCAGCCCGGTTTTCTCTAGTCAGCTCTTCACGAGCCTTAGTTAGGCGTCGAAGTATTATTGAAGCTAATATTTTAGACACTATATCAGTCAAACTGATTCCTCTGTGATTGTCACAAGAAGACTTTTGTCCTTTCTTATAGACCGGCACAATCAGTGATTGAGACCAGTCAGATGGGATTACGTCCAGTTCCCAAATTCTACCTAAGACCTCAGTTAATTTCACTGCTAATACTGAACTACCATCCTTAAAAATCTCAGGAGTAAACCTGTCAGGGTCTGCTGCACTCCCTCGCTTCAGATTTCCTATGGCTTTTTCACCTTCGTAAAGAGACGGAGGACTTACATTAACTTGCCATTCAGGTTGACCGGAGATCGTGGGAAACCGTCTCTGCCTATCCTCCCACTGACTGCAGCTCAGATGATGTAAAAGATGAGTTTTACAGAAAGCTCTCCGACCTCCTAAAACCTAGGCGCTCAGATGTAGTAATAGTGGCCGGTGACTTTAATGCTCAAGAAGTAAACTAAGCGATAGGGAAAGACACCTAGGTGGATCTTATGGTGTCGTCGCTCAAAGAACAGATAATGGCGACCGTTTGTTGCAGCTATGCTCAGATAACCGCCTCTTTCTTGCAAATACTAACTTTAAGCATAAGCAAAAACATCTTTTAACCTGACTCGTCCCAACGTTGGACCCAAATAGATCACATCGCTATCAGCAACCGAAGGAGGGGCTCGATAGAAGACTGTCGCTCATTCTAGAGCATATGCTTAGATTCAGATCATGCTCTAGTGCGAGCGCGTATTCGCCTGCGTCTTACTGGACGTAAGAAAGACGCTGCAAGGAAACCTCTTAGGGCCCTACTTAATGATAGTTAAGCTAAGATTATATTTCAGGAACAACTAGAAGAACAGTTAGGCAGCCATGTATGTGATGCCCACCCCGAGGCAGCATGGAATGATATCCGAAAAGCTGGGGAAACAGCAGTGATATATGCTAGTGCGGCAAACCACAAGGTTAGAGAGAAACACTGGATCTCAGCAGCACCTACCGCACTGATAGATGCGCGAAAACTCATCGCATCTGGCTCTTAACATAACGAAGAGCGGAGTCAGCTTAAGCGCAAGCTGACAAGAAGTCTACGCAATGACCGTGAACAGTGGTGGGTAGCGAAAGCAAGAGAGATGGAAAAGGCAGCGGCAATAGGTAATAGCAGACAATTGTTCAGACTTATTAAGGAAACCGGTATTAGGAAACTGACTGTTAGCGAAACAATCTCAGAGGAAGATGGACATATTATACATTCTCAATCCAGGAGATTGGATCAATGGGCAAAACACTTCAGGGATCAGTTCAACTGGCATTCAGCCACACTTCGGTTTCCCACGATCTCCGGTCAACCTGAATGGCAAGTTAATGTAAGTCCTCCGTCTATAAGAAAGGACAAAAGTCTTCTTGTGACAATCACAGAGGAATCAGTTTGACTGATATAGTGTCTAAAATATTAGCTTCAATAATACTTCGACGCCTAACTAAGGCTCGTGAAGAGCAGACTAGAGAAAACCGGGCTGGTTTCCGACCTGGACGTGGTTGTATAGACCAGATATTCACACTACTTTAGGTCCTAGAATATAGACACATTCAGACGCTGCACAATCGTAGTATTTCTGGACCTTAAGGAGGCATTTGACTCTGTCGATCTTGAGGTTCTGTGGCAGTGTTTGTCATTGAAAGGAGTACCAAAGTAGTACATTAACCTTGTAAAGGCTCTCTACTCGAACACAACTGATCGTCCTTTTATTGATAAACAGATATCTCGCCTTCGCCATAGTTGACGAACAACTATTGAGGGATAAGTCTACTTCCGATTGCGTCCAAGCTATTGGCTCCCGTCATACTTCGTAGGTTGTTCAAAACCCGAGAAAGATTGACTCGCGAGGAGCAGGCTGGTTTTCGTTCCGGTCGAGGATGTATTGATCATATCTTCACCCTCCACCAAATGTTAGAACACCGTCATGGTTATCAAAGGTCAACAATCGTAGTGTTTCATGACATCAGGGCTGCCTTCGATTTGTTGGATAGGACTGTTCTCTGGGATTGTCTATTGAAGAAGGGTGTGCCTGAGAAGTTTATTAACATCCTAAAGGCCCTATATACAAACACCTCAGGTAGAGTGAGGGCATGCAACCACCTATCTCCATTTTTCGACTCAAGCAGTAGGGTTAGACAGGGTTGCCCAATCTCACCATTCCTCTTCAACTTTGCCATCGATGACATTCTGGAAATAGCTCTGGTGGATGTAAGTAATGGCGGAGTGGATCTGTTGCCTGGAGAAAGACTTCTCAACCTTGAGTATGCGGATGATATTGTCTTACTGTGCGATAATGCCCAAGCCATGCAATCCGCACTTAATCAGTTGGCAATCAGTGTCCGTAGGTATGGTATGAGATATTTCAAGGTCACGGCGCCAACTTCGGTGCCTAATGCTAACGTACGATCGGTTCACAGAGAATTTTTTACAAAACGTGACAATTGAGCGGTTATAACAGATAAAACAGCGAGACTATAATTTGTGGACGAACTAGTCAGGTATAAGATAACAGATCTCGGTTTATGGCGCGGAAGCCTTTCATCCATTTGGCTAAAGATTTCTGGCATTATAGCTGATGTCAGTTCGTGATGAAAACTCCACATATAATCCCTAAGGCAAGTTATGACAATTATTGCGAACTGGATAATAAAAGCACCAGTAACACTGGCTGCAGCCAGGTACTACAATATATGCGGATGATTGGAGAGCATACAAACTCCCACATAGGCTTGGTTATGTGCAACATGTCGTTGTCCACAAGTGGCATTGTGTACTCAACAACTGGAGTACACACAAACAATATTGAGGCAGTGTGGTCGAGGCTGAAAGAGTTTTTGAGACTTTATCATGGCTCTGGAGGCCGACTGTTCTATAGCCATATTGATGATTTCCTCTACTGCATGCATTACGATTTTAGAACCTCTGAACCTCTTTCTAACCTTGAAAAGTTTTTGAACCACGTATAAGAAGTGTATCTACTTCATTTCCTTGGTTTTGTATAATATTTTTACTCCATACTGACTGTTCGCTGATTGGCTAATATTTCTCAAGGTCACTTAAGATTTGGTCAGAGGTCGTCCATAGGTTAGAGTCTTACCGACGTTATCAGATGTGGCTCAGAATAGAAGCCAGTGGCGCTCCTGCTGTAACCTTCTTTTATTTTCTTCAACAAAAGTGGTTGTATCCTCCTTAACTGAAAGATTTCTTCTGGTTTTACCTCTCCGTCTCCCCCATTTATTATTAAATTATCATACACTAATCTGTGGTCGTTATTGTTCTCTTTTTTCCTTTCTTCTCTCTTATACGCACCTTATATTCTTTGTCTATTACCATGGTAATAGAACGCATTGTCATTGTTATGTGGCACATATACGTCTGGTGGCTCCTTGTACCAATATTTATGTGTTCAAATAAATGATGTGAATCCAGTTACCCCAACAGATACAGAAACGATTAAGTCAGACTTCTGTATGTCTAAGCACCAAAAGCTGATATTGATATTTGATTGATCTAGTCGGAGGCTCGGCAACTAAGACTTGCTGGTTGGGACTAAATTCAGCTTCCAATCTAACCTGTACATAAGTCAATGGAGCTAGTGACCCCGAAACACGATAACTACTTTATTAAAACCAGTTGTTTGCTATTGTTTTATGTTATTCAAAGCTGAAACTGTCAAAACTAGGGGGGAATCGTGCACTTGTCCTGACATTAAGACAACTAGAAACTAATATGGATTGGTTTATGTTTTCATTATTTTTCCATACCTATTACAAAGATCTAAAATACCGATTTCAAATCCGAAAAAGCGTAAATATTAAAATCATAATAAGGTCTGTAGACGAGAAACGTGAGTTATCAAGCAAAGTGGAAGAAGGTTTACCAATACATATACTGGTTAATTTTTCCCTTATATATAGTGATATCACGTTTATCCCTATAGGGATAAACGTGCACATATGTAACTGCATGCAAGCTTAGAAATACCTTATTCAAGAAAATGAACTATATCCTCATGGTAGATAATGCCATATGTAGAGGAATGTTAAAATAACAAGAAAAGGCTAATCTAATTATGTTAAAGGCAACACCCAGTACCTGGACTAGCACAAACGAGCTGATGTAACGCCGAATTTGATAAGATCGCCAAATGGTTCAAATGGTTCAAAAGGTTGTGGACGGAATAGAAGAAGCTTTCGCTTAACAGGCTTCCGTGTCTAGTAGCAGGGGATCACGAAATCCTCCAGGCAGGAACCTAGGTATGTTAACAATAAAAGAGGAAAAGAAATTGGTAAATCATAGTGCGATGCTGTCCTTGGTCCTTAAGAATAGGTCAAGTTGCCTCTTGAAGGACTCCTGAGAAGTCGCTTGGACTAGCTCGGCCGGCAGCGAGTTCCAGCTTTTGACAACTCTTAAGGAGTAGAAGTTGTGTCTACATTCCGTCTTGCTATGTTGTGTTTCCAGTTTCTGGGTGTTACCCCTTAGGTTATTGTTCGAACTAAGCTTAAGTAGGTGTTTAAAAGGATGTCCAGAAGTGTTAAGAATACTATAAGCCATTAATAAATCACCTCTAAGACGCCTATATTCTAGTGGGTAAAGGTCTAGTGAACGAAGGCGTTCTTCGTAAGGCTTAGATTTGAGTCCTCGAATTATACACCGCATGGAATGCGATCCACTGTAATAGGATTCTGTCTAATTTTTTTAAAAATATTTTTGTGCACGGACAAGCAAAGGCTTTGACCCAACGGGTTTCCGTGTCTAGTAGCAGTGGATCACCAATACCATCAGGCAGGAATTTGGTTATATTGTCGATAAAAGAAGAAAAGAAACTGGTAAATCATAGTGCGATACTATCCTTAGCCCTTATGAATATGCTAATTTTTCTCTTAAAATACTCCTAGGAAGTCGCTTGGACTATCTCAGTAGGCAGCGAATTCCAGCATTTGACTACTGTTAAGGAGTAGAAGTTGTGTCTACAGTCCGTTCTGTCGAGTTGTGTCTCCAGTTTATGGGTGTTACCTCTTAGTTTAGTGTTGGAACTAAGCTTAAGTAGGTGTTTGAGAGAATGTTCAGAAGTGTTAAGGATACTATAAGCCATCAGAAGGTCACCTCTAAGACGTCTATACTCTAATGGGTAAAGGTTTAGTGATTGGTGACGTTCTTCCTAAGGCTTGAATTTGAGTCCCCGAACTGAATTCTTGGCTCTCTATTGGATGCGCTCCAGAGTGTCATTATCCTTTTGGAGTGAAGAAGGAAATACTATGTTTCCTTACTCTAAATGGAGACGAACGAAACTTTCGAAGATTATGTGAAAAGTTCTTCCGTCAAACTGGTCAAAAATGTGCTTCAATGTCACCAGTACAAGGTTTGCTCGAAAGGCATTCTTCTCACGTTCACCGTCAGACTTCAAATGGTAAGGTACCAACGCTCAGTAATCTTTTTCAACTTGGGATACTACTGGAAGGGAGTTGCCTATGTCTTAGCTGTAGTCTGAAACGTGTCTCAGATGGACTGTTTTACACCTTGAAGTGTTAAAGGTAAGTCCGTTGTCATCTGCCCAACCTTGAAGTCGAGCCAGATCCTTCTGAAGTGCCGGTTTTCCATCTTTTTTTCGCGTACCTCTCTCCAAAGCTTCACATCATCAGAAAAAGGTAATGAGTCTGGCGATACCTATTGTATAAGTTCGTCTATATAAATGAGGAAATACGAGGTCCTAGTACTGAACCCCTGGGGAACTCACTAAGACACCCTGACCTTAAAATGTAGATTTTTTAGATATGAAATGAGCCAATTCGTTAAAGGTGATTTGATACCTAACAGTTTGAGATTATTGACAAGACATATATAGTTGACACCATCAAAAGCTTTTGAGAAGTCAAGGTAAATGACTTCAACCTTCCTCTTGCGATCAAGGATGGTTGTCCATCTGTCCACCACAGTCAAAAAGTTGGTTGTACAAGAATGGCTCTTCCTGAGGCCGTGCTGTTGCGGTGAAAAGAAGCTTAATGATAATACAAGTCATGTATACCGTCGCATATAAGGAACTCCATAATTTTTGAAAGTATACAGAGAAGAGCCACCGGTCGGCACCTTGGAGGTTCACTGCATCGAACTCCGTTGAAAATTGGTATCATGTGAGCCAGCTTTCAAATTTCCGGTAATGTGTATTGGCCTAGCGAGTGTGAGAACATCAAACTAAGCGGTGTTGCCAAGATTGATGCTGCTTCACTAAGTATAGCAGAATGAACCATATCAGAACCAGGAGAAGCGTCTTTTTTAGGTGCTGTAGTTTCCAGTACATCAGATCAGCGTTCAGGTTCACTTCAGAAATTTCTGTGCTGTTGCAGATGAAGCTTCCATCAAAACAGTGAGTGTGGGTTGGTTGGAATGTTCGAGAGTAAGGTTCAGCATCATCACAGTCGTTGTTGGTCATGCCATTTGGATGTATCAGTTGGGAAACTCCAGTTTTGGCTTGTCGAAGCAAGGCTATATAACGGAATAATCTTTTCGGATTGGAGACAAATTTATCCAGGGTTTCCTGCGACTACCCCTAACCACCGTCTAATCTCAACATAGTGCACACAGTGTCGAACCACCTAGACTGGTGGCCACATTGCAACTTGGTAGATAGCATTCGATCTGTACTAATAAGGACTTGACACACATGACATTGATCACCACCCAGTGATCAATTATTTGTGACAAATTTACCGATAAGCTTTATCTGGTACTGATGCCTGCCTTTCCTTATCACCTTTGTGGACATGTTTCTTACTTATTTATGTTGCCTGTATGCGCCATTGTTATCAGTTCGTTTGTATTCCGCTCAACAGTGCCTTTTGTGGCCTAACAAACGAAGAGTGCAGTTATTAAAGACTGTAGGTTGCTTGTGGATTTTGGGGACCGTTTGAGGGACAGACTGCCTTGTAGCACACAAGACGGTGTGCAGTAAGAAGTCTCAACGAGTATTCACATCAAATTGAGGGTGAAGTTCTCAATCCACCCAATGTAGATTGTCCTGTAAAGCTGACACATCCAACCGTTTGAAATTCCAGCGCCCGTTGTTGGTGGTATGTTTTGGCTCGGTTTTTTCTGATAAAACTAAAGACTATGACGGCGTGATCGCTTTTCCCTAGGGGAGTCAGGACTGAGAGGTTGTCAACTAGGAATTCTCAGTTTGTAAATATGCAGTTTGAGCGCGACAGCGTCTGACTGTTTCTACCACGAGCTGCTGACTTCACATTTTCGCATAATCTCAGACCCTCAGTGACGTTGAAGAACCGAGCTTCAGTAGAATTTTCACCTCCAATATACGTGTGTTCCACGGAATTGACTTTGGAAAGATTGAAACCTCCTAGAATCAGGATATATGTGAATCTAAGACGAGTAGAGAGGGATAATCCTTCCTCAATACGGTTGTCGTACTCGATGTCAGCAATGGGCCTTCTGCAGATGACTCGAACTAGACACTTCGAGGTGGTAGACAATCTTACTGAGCACCATACGGATTCATGAAGATTGGTAAACTCTTGGTTGTGCACTTGTTGTACCTCCAGGCAAGATCGAAATTATAAGGCTACTCCGCCCCCACTTTTCGTTTTTCTGTCATTGCGAAACAACGATATACCGAGTGTTGCTAGCTCCTGGTCCGTAAACTGAGAAGATATCCAAATTCCAGATATCCCTATCAGATGAGCATTATTAGCATTGCCGAATTCACACATACCATCCATTTTATTTGATAAATTCACAGTGTTCATGTGTAAGCAGGCTATGCTTTCTGTTTGAAACGCGTGAGCTCCCCCGTCCTGTTTGTCTCTATGAGCGATATGTGAATGGACAGGTAACCTGCCTATACAAGGTTTGCCGAGTTGGTAACCCCTATCGTTTCCACGTTTTTTATGATCTAGACAATCCACAAGTGGAATGGTCGGATCCAACTCGCCTTTGTGCTTGATCCTAGTGTCATATGGCCTATCCGGATGTATATAGATTCCAGTTGGCAACCGGCGTCTGCTGGCACGAAATTCCTCGGGAGTTGCACACGAAATATGGGAAGATGGGAAGGTTATCCTCATCAACTGGGGTCTAGAGTCTCCGCCTTTTTGACTAGTTTCATCACTTGCCCATGTCCAGGCATTTGTTTCGAAGACAAACGGCTGTCGACTTCTGTCAGTCTGATCTTATTACTCTCCTGGGTGTATGCGTTGTCTTTACACATATGAGTCAACCAAAGGCCTAGAAGCCACGACCAGTAGTTGGTCCTATAAAGTGATTACACAGTAGGAATAAATAATCCAGAATCACTTTTTAACCAGCTTTATAAAGCAATCGCGTAACTTCTCAACCTATATCAAGACAGAGTTAAAAAGTGTAAATATTGGGACCGCTTTTTGTCAGTCAAATATTGTCGTTATTGCAAAGGTACCAGTCCTCTTTATTTTCTTTAGGAGATCTGAGTAATGTTTATGCCAGTTTCTTACGGAATATACAGAACATCATAATCTAAAATTCTCAAACATCAACATCTGCTACATTTACTCCTGTTTTACGCCATATTCGCAGGTTGAATGCATCATTCATAGGATGAACTTCAGGTTTCATTTCGGATTAGTGGATTGCTGAAATATATTTTTTCTGATTGATTTGTGACACCACCTGTAATACGGCAGATGACAGCGTTCCAGGGTCTTCTCCTTTACCTCAGAAACGATAGAATTTCGGGGCCAGTCTAAGTGTATAATGTTTACTATGCCTCGGTGTTACTTAGCTATTTATCTTCCTGAAGTAACTCCGTACCATTGTATTGGTAAGTAAATCTCCAAAATCAATAGCTCTGCATAATAATAATAATAATTATTATTATTATTATTCACAAACATCTTATGGGTACATAAGTGTTGTGAAGAAGTTATTTCGGGTTTCGTCAAAATGCAATAATACACAAGTTTCAATAATGCTAGTATTGTTTGCCATATATGAAAAAGAAAAGAAATAATAATGATAATATAATAATAATAAATCAGGTTATGTTTAATTCAGAAGAATGCTGAATTGAGTTTAAAGAAGGAAATGGAGAATAATAAGGCAGTAGAAACAATGGAGATGTGAAATATGCAAATAGCTTAATAGGTATGTTAGTGAGCACAGTT